CACTTAGACAGCTTTGGGTTTCATGGTGCAGAATTAGGGCTGTCTTCAGTGTGCAACTTCTCCGTAATCGCTTTCCTTTTGTTTCCTCCTCAAGGTGAAATTGTAGCATCCCCCAGTGTGCTGGGTCACCTTATAGAGGATTTGGATTTGCCTAAAAAAAGGAGCCGGAGCCAATACGAGGGGCATCCTGCCAAGGGCAGCTGCTTTGGAGAGAAGAGGACCCCAGAAGCAGAAGACGGGGCTGTGCCGGATGAGACCTGTGGCACAGGCAGGTCTTCGGCGTAGCCAACAGTGTCACACAGTGAGGACACCGAGTCAGGGATGGACATGTAGGTACCCTGTCGTTTAGTGTAAATCTCTGACTCTTGGACCATCAGAAGTGTCTGAATGACTTTTAAAAGGGACATTGCGATACCTGAGTGCTTACCTAGTGATCAGGGGAGTGGTGGCTTACAGCATGGTTGGGAAAATGGTTTTAAGCAACTTGGACATTGGAGAGAGGAGGTCAGCGTGGAGCCCGTGGCTTGGGACAGGGTTCAGAAAGAGGGATTTGAAAGCAGACATTCAGTTATGTAGCTGACTTCCAATAAAAAGAGCATACCAGAGCTGTGACCACCTCTCCCATGTGCTGGGAAACTTCTGACTCAGTATTGGAATAGAAATGTCAACATCGCTTCCTCCTAGGAACAGGACTGGCAGAATCTGACTCCCACCCCGGCTTCTGCTAAAGCCAGATTGCTTTGGTTCAGTGACACCAGTAATTCCTCGGAAATTCCCTGGCAAAATCTGACCTGCACAGACCCTGCTTGCTTTGAGAGACAACCTGAGGTGGGAGGATTGCAAGCAATAGGCTTGTTGTCTTGTTTGAATTTAAATAAGTTGACTTGGCTAATATTTGAGTGTTGTATGCGAAGCACATAGTAAAATCAGAGAAAAAGCTGACCTTGGGGAAATGTTTTCACTGTGAAGCGAAACTGAGGTTAAAATTGGGGAGGAAAGAGGGAGGAATAAGGTTGAACACAATTAGAGCTTGCTATAGACCTGCCATGCTTCTGGCTTTGCACATACAAGCAGCCGTGGCAGTATCAGGCATGAAAATGCCATCTCGGTAACTTCAGTAGCCAGAGATTGAGTTCTCTTCATAAGATGTATTTAATTTTCCTGTTTTCCAAAGTAAAACTCTGAGAAGGGCTCACGACCCTGGAGGCAGACAAGATAATACAGGATTGTCCTCAGTCTCTGGAGAGTCCCATCATTACAAAGGTATGCCGTAACAAAAATCAGCTGCTGCTTCACTGGCCTGCTGTCAGGTTGACTGCGAGGTAGGAGATAAAGGTGTTCTGGATCAGGTTTTAATAACTAAGTTGTCTGTGGAAAGCAGAAGAGGCTCTGAGATTTGTGTAGGCTCCCTGGGCTGGGTTGCTTACATACCTGCAGTGAATTGTTTTGAAGGCAAGATTAATGATGGACTAATTGCTGTTCTTCTTAGTAAAAGGCTTAGTTCTGCGGCCGGGTCTTTCGTGTGTCTTTTGCTTAGTAATAGAGGGTGTATTCCAGCGTTTCGGTGGCTCAGGAGCCGCGGTGGGAGCAGCACAGCACCTGCCTGCGTGCAAAGACGGCTGTCATCGCGGACGAGGAGCGGGAAGGAGTTTGGACTCAGGGGACTGTAAATACACAACACACTTCCCAGCATCCCGCTTCCATATTTAAAAAAAAAAAATTGTGTTTCCTGGCAGCGTCTCTCCTTAAACATGAGAAATGAGGTGGTCAAAGTATTGCAAAATCATTCAAGTAAGTGCTGGAAGCAAATTTCTGCCCCCGCCGTGGAAAGCAGAGCTGCGGTCGTACGCTTCGCACGCCGCTGCCGTGAGCTGCTGCGCGGCAGCATTTCGGTGCCGTAGCAAACGCGTACACCTAAATCTTCGTGAACTGGGCTCGAAGAGCCCCAACTTTAAATGCCTTACGGCTAGGGTAGGAACTGGGGCCACAGAGGCAAGCTGGCCGGGAAAGCACAGCTCGGGAAGCAGGACGGGATGCTCCTGCGGCCATTGAACTGTGCTGCATTCCAGGCAGGCAGCACCACGGGCTCTGCCGTAGCGTGGGGCAAGGCATGGGAGCACGTCACGGCGCTCTTCATTCAACCCCACGCCTTGTCCTCCTCCGTTGCCTTCCTTACGTAAGGAGTAGGGGGATGTTTAGTTCTAAGGACAGAGGATGGCCTGCACACGCTGCTTCTGTGCCAGGCTCCGCGTCAGCGGTGGGCGAGTAGAGAATAACGTAAGGACAAGGAGAAAGCAAGCGACATTTATCAGTGTCCAACCATTCCTGATGAGCAGCAGCAACGTCACCGGGTCTTTTGGTGGGTGGGGACCGAGAAGGGTGAGCAAAACCCGTTCAGTGTGCGGATGGGTTTACACAGAGCCCTAGGGATCTGAATCTCCTCTTGAGGTTCCAACTCAACGGGCTGCTGCCGCCTTCACTTTGCACCGGTTCCCGTGGGGTTACGGTGGGCCTGTGGCTTCTGTCGATCATGGCTGTCATGGCCATACCGCTGCCACCGGTAGCACTGCGGTGTGAGATGGCCGTGAAAGTGTCCTTGTGCTCTGAGGCGGCTTAAAGAGGAGGGCTGAGGCCCTGGGGCTGTTCCCATGTTCATTCCTCTGGTTTAGTGTGCCCATAAAGTAAGGTTGAAAAAATAGCCAGCTTGCGATCCCGGGCGGAAAGGCCGGCCGCCGGCCAGGGAGCGCAGGGGCCTGCGGTGTCGGCATCTCCAGAGGGTGCTGCTGTCGGGCCCAGGGTCTCCAGCTGGACCACGAAAGCTGGAGATGACCGTCGGTGACAAAACTCCGAGCGGGCAGTATATGATGCCGAGATAGCTACCGGTTTCTGTCTTACGATATCTCAAGGGATGTTTTCACAGACGTGTCTAAAGAGGAGGAGAAAACTTGCACTTGCTTCCAAACCTTGGTAACATGGAGCTGTTGCTGACCGCGGTCTCGTTCGTGCTCAGTGATTAGGACAAGAGGAAACGGCCTCAAGTTGTGCCAGGGGAGGTTCAGGTTGGACGTTAGGAAGAACTTCTTCACTGTCGGAGTCGTTAGGGATTGGAATGGGCTCCCCAGGGAGGTGGTGGAGTCATCGTCCCTGGAGGTGTTCAAAAAACGTTTAGATGTGGCACTTTGAGACATGGTTTAGTGGGTTTAGCGGGCATGGTGGTGTTGGGTAGAAGGTTGGACTTGATGATCTTTGAGGTCTCTTCCAACTGTAACGATTCTATGATTCTATGATTTTAACAGCCCACAGAGGCAGCCGTGGACAGGGCACACCCGGGGGACCCCACGGTGGCATTGGGGACCCACCAGCCCTGATGCTCAGCAGGGCACGGCCAGGACTTCATTTCTGTGCTGTACTTTGGAGGAGTTTCACGTCCTACTCATGGTGTTCGTGTGGTGGGTGAGGATTTATGGCCTGCCTTTGCACCATTAGCCGTACGTGAGGAGCTGGCGGCTGGGTATGAAGATAGGCCGTAGCGCAGAACGTTACTGGGCGCTATTTCAACGGGTCACGTGGAAATGAAGTCAAGAGGTGAAAGGCAGCTGCGACCGAAGAACTGACTCTTAGGCGCTAGGGGAAACCCCCACGGGGTTTTTAGGACCAGCATTTTCCTGACGAGAGCAAACACCCGCACAGGCAGGTGGAAAACTCTTTCTGCCGCCTTCCCCCAAAAAAGACATAAATCCAGCCTTACTGATTGGTAAAGCCTCTGAAGGAGATAAATTGGCTATCGGTAAATTATTGACATTAGGCAGGGATGTGTGCCGTCCTCTGAAGCTCCTCGGGGTGGCCACAGGCTGGTGGCACTGAGATAAGGACGGTTTTAGCTTGTGTGGCTGTTTCTGTCCTCCCTTTTGGGGACCTTATAAAGCTGAAGACACCCTGATATAAAGCCAACTGTATTAGCTTCGGTTGGACCGCAGAAAAACTGCTACGGTTTATCTGCTTTAGCAACTCAGTGATGCGGTACGGCCGTGTGACGGCAGCGGTGGCGTGCAAGGCGGTAACGGCTGCCTGGCAGGGACGGATTTACTTCGTGTACGAGGGACCTGTGCCCAAGAAAAGAGGATTTCCTTACAGCTGCAAGTCCCGCTGCCAGATACCATTTAGGAGGTGAATGTGGGGGAAAAGCTTGACTTTGGAGATGAGCCGTGCCCCATTTCAGCGAAGAGACCCAATGCACTCTGGCAGAGCCTGCTTTGGGTGCCCAGAGGCTCTTTCTGCTTCAAGCAGAGGGTCGTAGAGGAGAAACACCTTCCCTTTGGTTGCTCTGCCCCCAGGAAGGTGTCCCTCCACCCCGTGCCACAAGCCACCAGTGGGGGAAGCGGGGTGAGAAAGCCCCTCCCAAACTTTTCTGGACCTCCTTCCCCACCCAAACCGGAGGAGGGAGACTTGCTCATGGCTTTACATTGATGGGGCCATCCTCCCACTCCCCGGCCACTGGCCCTTAAACTCTTCTTAGGCTCCATCACCACGACCCCCCCAGCCTCCCTTAGCTCCCGTGTGGCTTCCCTTGATGTTGGGAAGTGCGTTTCCCCCCCATCCCCCCAGTATCCTCCTCCAGCCTGCTGCTGCCAGAGGTGAAGCAAATTACTCCTTGCTGCACCCTGGGGCGAAGTGGGGGTCCGGTCCTTGCAGGGAGGTCCCTGTGGGGAGGTGGGTTTTGACCTGGCTTGGGGTGGGAGAGCTCAGGGGGACGCAGGATGGGGGCTCGGGCGTGAATGATGCTTCCAGCCACCACCCCCCTGGAGAAAACGAGCGGAGCCAGGTCCCGTGTCAAAGGCATTTATTGCTGCGGGGACTCGCTGCCCTTCACCCCACAAAGAGGGGCAGGGATGCGCCGCGGTGAGATCCACCTGTGGGCAAAGCCGGATTCACCCCCCACACCCCGGCCGTGCCAGCTCCAAACCAAGGGGGTGCAGCACAGATGGGACCCCGGGAGACGCTCAGGGCTGGATGAGCGCAGGGTGCCTCTGCCGCACGGTGAGGGTGAAGGGCCGCGGTTTCAGCGCCAGCCCGTGGATGCAGTCCATGGTGAGGTGCTCCGCCGGGTTGGCATGGAAGGAGCACTGGTGGAGGAGGATGGCAGTGAAGAGGAAGAGCTGGAGCTTGGAGAGCTGGTCGCCGATGCAGCGCCGCTGTCCGGATGAGAAGATCATGACGCTGCCAGCCCGCTCCCGGTCCAGGCGCCGCTGCGTGTCCAAGAAGCGCGTGGGGTCGAAGCGTTGTGGGTCGGGCCATTTGCTGCAGTCGTGGTTGACCGACCACTGGTTGATGAAGACCACGGTGCCCTTGGGGATGTGAAAGCCCTCGAGCTCCACATCGTCCGTGGTAGCGTGCGGGATGGTGATGGGCACGAAGCTGCTGTAGCGCAGCGTCTCGTAGATGAAGGCCTCCAG